GGGTAACTAATATCTGGCTATACAATGAAATTGCCATTAAGCGTTTAATAGTTGCCTGTTGGCACATCCCACGGCTGGGCGGAGGCAGGGTATCTGCGGTTGGCCGCGTGCCGACGCCTCATCATTCATGTGGATGTCGTTGTTTGCTGCTCGTTTAATGTTCATGTAAATTATGCGCCAAAAATTTAAATTCCAAGCATTAGAGATAACGTTTTACAGAGTTTACAAGCCGTGGGATTTGTTTTGCGGCCACACCCATTAAAAAAGTGGGCAAAACAATGCGCGGGTTGTTTTTTTGTTGTAAAAGGTAAGCGACTGTCCTGTCTTTACGGTGTTAGCCCAAACACGTGTTGTAATTTTTTGATGATATTCGGGTGGAAGATTTTTGAAAAGTCAAACATAAACAACACTTACATTTCAAGTGACATGAGCAATATAATCACAAATCAGTTTTCGATAAAGGATTTAAGGCAAAGTGTATGTCCGACTAGCAGATACCCTGGATTCAGCTCTTACTCAAAAAATACTATCGAATCCCGTGTCCTTATAGTCCTTCGAATTATGCCTAAAAAATGAACTATTATGTTGATACATTTCGGGAAAATTGGGAAGTTATCGATAATGTCACCTTTAAACAGTTATTTGGATGGATCGGGTCTAGGGTAGGCAAATACACATGAAAACTGCCTGCTGTTGGCCCATTCCCGTCTGTCTTTCCTCAGTTCATTTCCCTACCTTATGTTCCACTCCCCCTATGCTGCACACACCCTAACTTTAGAACGCAAGAACAAGCGGAAATTATATAGAATTCCATACAAAACAACAGCAAATGCAACTTTGATGGCCGAACTGGGTCGACATATTGTAAAACTATAAAAAATATCTATATGTATAATTCGTGCAAATCTCAAATCGTAAAAATTGCGCAAATTTCGCGAATGCCGAAAAACCGCAACAAATTGCGTCCCAGTCGAAGGCAGCATGGGCAAGGGGGGGAGGTCGGCAAATTAGTGCCAAAAACACGCGAGTGAGCAACATAAAAATGCGACATAATGTGGCAACATGGCCGTGCTGTGCCACTCCCGTACCGCCCCGCCCCTGGCCATCCCTCCAGAGCCGGCCGGTGTCGCAGGAAAAGCTCATAAAAAATTATAGATTTTCATCTTTGCATATTTAACTTTTATCGCAGGCCGTTCTCATGTGTTGCCCAAGAAGGCGGCTTTATGCGACCGCAGCCTGAAGTAGGCATAAAACAAATGTCATACTCAGAAGGTGGTAAGAAATCACATATGTATACGATATATACGGGCAGACCCTTTGCCGCATATCCGCCCCTGCCATAAAGGTGTATTGTGGATTTTTGCATAATCGTCAATTCCTGATTTTAAAATTTCAGCGTATAAGGGTCGCTCGGCTGGGGTCGCTGGCTGCCAAGCCTTGGTCAATCATAAAAATTCATTTTTATAATCTTTACATGTGTTACAGCAACAATAAATATTTATTACTATTTTACGATTGATTTTAGTTAAGGTTCAGGTATTGAGCTATTTCGCAAATAATATCATCAAAATGGGCAAAGATTTAATTGGGCTCGCCGCAAGCCGAAATGAATGCTATGTGAATCTTTTACATGGATTAGGATTATCTCTCTATTATTTAAATTAATATTCGATTTATATATATATATATATATATATATATATATATATAATATATATGTAAAAGCTGAGCTGAAATTTGTACAGTAGTTACCTGATGTAATGATCCGACGGTCTGGTAATATATTTTTCAAGCGATGAAACACAGATTGCAGAAGTTCATTCCACTTTCCGCTTTCTATAATTTGCCACAGCTGTAACTCGTTAAAATACCATTCAAAACTCGGATTTATCCCTTGGCTTTATTATTTAGAATCATATGGTTGATACAACTAAGTGAACATTGCTTGCCAATTCTTGCAATAACCCGCCAGAATTATTCATAGTCACAATGCAATAGTCGACACTATCTTGGGGCCAGCCAGGTGAACCAAGCCGGATCAAAGCATGACTCAAAACACGGACCGCAACAATTGTCGGGGCAGAACCCAAAGTAAGTAAAACAGCATTTCGCACAGCCAGGTGATAAAATACCACATGGTCTACAACAGCTCCTGGGCACGGGTATACCACATCCAAAACGACAGAGCTTCATACGCATTGTAACCAGATGTTGACTCGAATAATTATCTGGATTGCTGCAAACAATTTGCACAAAGCCAAGTTATACACAAATCTACTTTCAGCTCAAAAAGCTACCAACGACATTAGCCTAAGTAATATATATAATATGGGAATTTAGAAACAAACAAAGATTTGGCAAAATCACTTACTTGTTAAACTGAAAACAGATCGTCTCACATGTACATGAAATTTTTTGAAATTGCCGTTGAAAACTGACTCAAGGCTTGCTTGTCCCTTATTTCAACGGGGTATGACAGACACACAGTCCACAAATTTGATTAATTATTACCTCAGCCTCAGATTCTATCTATAATTTAACCTGGATAAGAGTATAACTGCAAAGTTCTTAAATGTTTACTTTCGAAGGAGAGTGAAAAGGCAATATACTCAGAGAAACAAGGAGTATCACATTAGAACAAATCGGATTACAGAGTATCTCCTGGCATTCTTGCGTTCTATATGCACTTTAAAGTAAAACCCTGCTATATAGCAACGCAAGCGCAATTAAACTAAGGGTAAATCGCCTAAATGATATCATAAACAAATGACAGCTTTGATTTAGCTTCGTTGACAAGGAAAACAACATTAAATAAAGTGCAGAAGCAGCTGGCATAACCCTACTGGAGCCACAGACCATGACGAGCCCACTTAAAAATTATCTCAGCCTTCGCAGCGAAGAGTGAGGCAGTGAACCGGGCAAGGCCGGAGCCGGAGAGTGGGTAAGTGGATATTGCGCATTAGCCTCACCAAGGGGTAACCAAAGCGGAGTCCGGCAAATGCGCAATTGCAAACATTGAAAGCTATGCCAGAGCAGGATACAAATCCGATCAATGCGCACCAACGGAAACGGATGAGCACACAGCAATTAGTGGAGTTCAATTTGCTAGACATTTTGTTGCCCAATGCCGAAATCCAGGCATCCACAGGTGCTGCGTTGAGTGCTTCGCACCTGCTTGGGTGGCATTAAAATGGCATTCAACGCATCCCATAAAGTGGCAATTAAAATCTTATTTTCGCTTATTATATTTCGCCCTTTCCAATGGCTTTGCCTTCGCCTTCGCCTTTGCCATGCGGAACGCAGCTGCAGGCACCGCCAATAAACACGTCTACAAATTGTGCTCCTGCCCAACTTCAATTCAAAAATTTGTCGCCCGAGCTGCCACCTGTTTCCAGTTTTTCTTTACTTTTATTTTTTTTATTTATTTTTTTTTTTGGTTCGCGTAATTGAATCATTTTAGCGCCATTTATTTTGTTGCCACCCCCACGCCCACTCTTGGCGCGGGGGCGGCTGGGGCGTGACATTTGTAAAACAATTTCTATTTCGAAATGAAATCCGCAATAACAACAACGCTGAGAGCAGGCACATAAATAATAATGCGTTAAATTTATGCGTTGATTAATGCGAAGCAGTCGATCAACAAAAGCGAGCGGAAACGGAAATGGTAACTTTTTATGCTCAGGTGTTTCCAGCAGCCAAAAGAACAAGTTCATATGAATATTAAGCTAGCAATCAGAGAAACTTGAATCTACATTAGAACACTAAATTCAAAGAATTCAGATTGCTTTTCATATACAAATAAATTAGGGTCTGAGTTTCTACTAGGACTAAATATCAGGTTGAAGTCGAAATCTTACAGAGATTTTCTTACCTTGATTCCCAGTTTTATAGAAACAAAACTTTTCTCACTCTTTGCCGTGTTTAGTCCCCCATCATTGTCATTAAAAATGTCCAATCAAATATATGTATTCTGGATTAAACGCGTCGATCTCGCAAATAGCAAAAGTTATAGGTTTAAAATTAAATATATGTTATACATATATAATATGCAGAAAAAGTTAATCATTATTTTCCGATATCATTCTCCAATTCCATAATATCCAAAAAGGAAAATCGCTAGATAGGTCGAATTTGATATGAACGTTCTTGTGTCATACACAATTTGGGAATACTTTACTTTTCGGATACCTTATCCTTGTATTTAAGCCAAGTTTTTTTTTTGACGTTGGGAAGCAGCAAAAGCGCTGCGCAACAAGCGACATGCCCTATGTATACATATTAAAGGAAGTTTGTAAAGCATCAAGGCAATCATCTACTTAGCACAACGCAACAACTATCAGGCAAGCGCTCTCTCACTCTCTAGAAATGCCGTTTCTAAACAGCAGAAATCAAAAAAGCTGCTCAACTGGTTCTACAATAGTTAAGTATGTTGAAAGTGGTCAACTGAATCGTGTTAACCCATTGCAAGTAGATCTACCGAACACTCTAGACGTGCCGAACCGTAGTGAATTAAACGTGATTCATTCAAAGGAGGAAAATGATATCCTATGTCTTAGCTATATATTTACTTCTTATCGTTAATTCCTGCAAAGCATTACGTAAGTACATTAAACTTACACATTTGCAAGACTTTTCCAATAAATACATTTATCGTTCTGGAATCACAGCTGAGGAAATCAAGAAATGTCGATTCGGAGATGAAAAATGCATAATTGAGTCCATAAATGATATCATAAAGAAATATCCAAAAGGAATACCCGAAATAGACATCAAGCCCATTGATGTGGTTGACATAAAGGATACAGAACTCTTAAAAACAGATCGAACCGGCGTTTACTGGGCAGCTGTCAAGTTAATTAACCAAGTCAACTATGGGTTCGAAAACACAACCATAACAAGTGTTGAGGGCTTCGAAAAGAATCCCACAGCCAGCCAAATAGTGATCTCTGGGCGCATACCCACCTTGGTGCACAAAGGCACTTTGGACGCAAGCATTTGAATCTGGTGGGCTTTATTTAATCAGACCTGTAAGTCGCTATCGGAGTTTCAAAATATGTACTTCACTTTAACACTGAAAGTCTTATTGGAATTTCGGAATAATAAGCGATACCTGAAAATCTACGAATTGAGTCCAACTGTGAAAATCGATCGGTAAGTGTTGATGAGAACAAAATATTTGAATAGGTCTGACTCTTCTTATGTCACAACACCAGCTGGATTTTAGAGATTGAAAGCCTTTTTAAAGAAAACACCGACCTAACCATCTTTTTAAACCGTTTGTTTAACCAACGATGGACTGAGATCTGGAATGAATGGGAACCAAGCATATTGGACACATTTGCCAGTGTCTTTATCGGCATGATAAAGGATACATTCAATCAAATTCCTTACGATGACTTGTTTCTACCAGATGATAATTCATCTTGATGGGATATCCTATATTTCCCCCGACTATGATATAACAACGTGCCAAGTTTTGCAAATAATCAATTTTTTTATGGGTATTGTGCAGTTTTAGGTTCGCTTGTTCTATATATATCTTTACAGAATTATCAGTCTGCAGAGTTGTTTGAATTGGGCCGATATTTGTCTTATTTATAGTTAATAGGTATTTATATAGGTTATAGCTTCTTGGTCAGCATCAATAGCCGAGTTGATATAGCTATGTATTAGTTATCGGATTCGCTTTCTTGACCACATTTTTGAGCTTTTAATAGCTAGACATACAAAATGTTCGATGCAGTATATCTTTAATTATACACAGCGGCAGAATATTTAATTTTTGTGATAGCCTTCCCCGTTCATGGAAGATGAAGCACAGTTCTTGTAAATAATAAGTATGATAGATAGGGTAGGGTATCTCCTAGTTAGGCACTCACAAGTAGAGCACTCGTACATGTTTTGTTTAATTCGTATATTTAATTTTATTTGTTAAGAAATATTCCTAATGAAAACAGTTTATAAAAGTACCGATACAACTATTATGCAACCGCTCTCTCACTCTCAAGAAATGCCGTGTAGAAGCTGCAAAATGCAATAAGATAAAAAGCGGTTCAACTGGTTCTCGAATAATTGAATATGCTTAGAGTGGACAACTGAATCGTGTTAGCTTATTCTTAGTTGAGCTACAAAGCATTAAGCACGTGCCGAATCAAGTCTATGAAATAAATAAGCTATCATTAAAAAGAGGAAAATGATATCCTACGTTTTGGCTATCCATCTACTTCTGATCGTTTTTTTCTGCACAGCATTACGTAAGTATATTTGAATTCGACATGTTAAGGACATTCCCAACAAATACATATTGCATTATGGAATCACAGCAGATAGAATCAAGAAATGTCGTTTCGGAGATGAGAAATGCATGGTTAAGTCCATAAACGACATCATCAAAAAATATCCAAAAGGAATACCCGAATTGGGCATTAAACCAATCGATGTGGTTGATATAAAGGACACAGAACTCTTAAAATCAAATCGAACCGGATTTCTTTGGGCATCAGTCAGTCTGAGTAATCAAATAAACTATGGCTTCGAAAACACAACCATTACAAGTGTTAAGGGATTCGAAAAAAATCCCAAGGCTAGTCAAATTATAATCTCTGGACGTATACCCAGTTTGGTGCACAAGGGCTCTTTTGTTGCGAATGGACACCTCTGGCTGGTTGAAATGAATTTAACTGGGGACTCGATCTCGGAGTTTCAAAACATGCGTTTCACCTTGAAACTGAAAGTCTCACTTGATTTCCGAAATAATAAACGATACTTGAACATCTACCAGCTGACTCCAATTGTCAAAATCGATCGGTGAGTGCGGATTAAACAAAATATTAGATTGTGTTACTTAACTTAAGTCCCGACATCAGCTGGATTTTAGAGATGGACAGCCTTTTTACAGAAAACACCGATCTTACCATTATTTTAAACCGTTTGTTCAACCAACGTTGGATTGAGGTGTGGAATGAATGGGAACCAAGTATATTGGACACATTTGCCAGTGTCTTTATCGGCATGATCAAAGGTATATTCAATGAAATTCCTTACGACGACTTGTTTCTGCCAGATGACATTTAATTCTTCTATATTTATTTATATTCTCATATGTGCTAACTGTAAAAAGATCTGTAAATTTTATAGCAGTTAATACTTATTTTTTGGCTTTTGTAAAGTTTTCGGTTCTGTTCTTCTATATATCCTCACAGAATTATCGATCTGTAGAGATATTGTGACTGGACCGATAGATGTCTAAATTATAATTATTATTATAGCAATATTAGGAAAACAAATTGTATCTAAAATATGTTCAATTTATTGCTATTAAAGTAAATTTTTGATTAATTCTTTGAACAAGTTAATATAACTATTAATAAGTGAGTATAAAAAAATAACAATTTATGGATAAATTATAAGTCAGAAAATGACATTTGGAAATAGTGATAGTTATTGAAATCTTGAGACTATGTCTACTTATTTTTCAGTTTTCCCTTGCCCTGCACATCCTGAAAAGCTCATCAAATTAAACGATTCGCGACCCAGCCTCTGTTGCGCCGAGCCAAATACGTAGGCATTTAGCGAAACGTTTATTTCATTATTACGCTGAGGGGGATATCACCCACTGCATATAAAACCACTGCATTGGTAGCCGGCGCACAAAAGTCAAATTGAAAAAGTCAGAAATGTTTCCGGCATTTGAGCGCGAAACCCCAAACAAAAGCCCGAAGGGTGACTAAAGTGGCCCACCCACGGGGGTTGGCTGGCATCATTGACAAAGTAAAAACCGTAGCGGAAGGACTAGCAACAAACCAACCAGGCCCACCACCAAGCATCCAGTCAACCAACTCACTCAGTCCCAGCAAAAAAATATAAATAAACCCATGCCAAAACATGAAGCGAAACAAGTTATAGTGCTCTGGCCAAAGGTGCTCGACTAGGCGATATCCTGCATCCACCTCTTAGTGGACCTTATGATACTGATTGACTTCCCTATTCCGCGCACTCAATATCGCCATCTAATATGTAAATATACCAAAAACCATGCATACATCATACATCCAATAACCGTCATGATGGGTTCCTATTATCTTACCTCTCAGAATTGAGTTAATATTGATAATTTAAAGGTATAGTACTCATACTCAAACAGGCTAAAGGACAAATTGACTTGGCTAGAACGACTCGGCTTATAATGCTGATCTTGACATACACGTTACGGGATTTATCTGCCTGTTACATGCTAATCTAATATACCCATTCTAAATGACTACAGGGTATCAAAAGGCTGGCACTTGTGCTGTGCGCCAACCCCCCGCGAACCGACCTCAAATCACATGCATAAGGTTTTTAAGTTTCGTGCTTTGTCATATAAGTGCGTGGAGGACGATCTGTAGATACAGTTGTAAAGATATGGTAACAGGCGCATAATGTGACAGCATTGCCAGATCCGGGGTGAGCGACAGGGAGACACAATAGCGGTACACATGTTTAGGCGTTGCCAGCCGCTGATTACAATTGCTTAAGGGGGGGCTGTGACATAGTCTCTCTATGCGAGGGTCGCGAGGGTGGCCAGAGTGGAAGCTAGTGAAAAATAAAAGACAAGAATATAAATTAAAAAAGTATATATTTTTTATATATTTATGATTTCAAGCAATGGCCTCAAAAAAAGTTAAATTTAGTTTGGAACACAAAAAAAGATATCGAATACAGTTCTAAAGAATATCTTATCAAATTAAAGAAATTAGAAAAACTTTTAGTATACATATTTAAAAATTTATAAGACATTTCCTTTAGCGACTTTTCTTTAAATCCTAAATCTTTAAGCTAAATATTTTATAAAAATAATTTTATTTGTTTTAAACTTTTTTCCTATGCCAGGGAAAATGTTTATTATGTATTGTTGCAAAATACGAAATATTTGAATAACTTCAGTTTGCTCAATCAGATTCTTAATAAGTCTAACGAAATTTTATATTTTTATTAAAGAGTAGCTCAAGATACATTTGCAGGGCTACATTTTTCAGCTTAAAACTCCTCGCACCACCCCTTCGAAAATTCAGTCTTTGTGAGGCATCAAACAAGTTCTGGTTGCCTGATCCCATTTATATAGAACCCAAAACTGGTGTTACGTGACATTGCCGCCCATTTTGTTGACATTGCCGCCCATTCAAAATACAGCCCCACCAATGTTTAGATATCATTTTGCGCAAATATTGCCAACTAAAACAAAATGTTGCGCAAATAGTTGCCCGAGTAATTGGTACATTTATTTACCTACGGCCCCGTCCACCATACGAAGTGTACACTGTACAGGCGGGCCGAAAATCAATGCTGCAGTTCATTGAAATGCTCGAGGAGAAATTTAATTAAGGCGGCCAGGTGACAATGCTGCAGGAACGGGCCCCAAGTTGCCATTGGCCATCATAAATCAAGGTTCAAGTGCACAAAAATGCTGAGAGGGGCGGAGGGCAAAACGACTGCTGCAAGTGTCGGCAACATGTGGCAGCAAAAAAATTGAGCGCAAGAAATAAGCGCCGCAGGGCCACAATCAAAGTAAAATGGAAAAAATTTGAGAACTTTGCGACTTTTGTGACTGTTTGACATGGTCAAGTTTAATTGAAAATATAATACAGCCAAATTTGTTAAATAAAAAAATAAAAAGAACAAAATATCAAAAATTCAAATGCCAGCGCGACTTTTGGCCTGACACTTGACGCTGCGCAGCTGCTCATAATTAGAAATTGTATAAAAAAAAGCAGCATTATTAATTTATTCTTTTTGCGCTTTTTAATTGAAATTTCCTTTTCATTTTTTTTTTTTTTTTTGCTTTTGTTTTACTTCTCTTTTTAGCTGCTGCAGATAATTTTAATAACCCGCCCCGTACACGCCGCGCCCAGTCCAAAGGATGCGCCGGTAATTGCCGTGGCAAAGCGAATGATAAGGCAAACGCTGGAGATTTCAGGTATTTGGGGGTAAAAGGGTTCACTTTTTACCCATCTTTTTATTAACAAATTTCGCTTTATTTACGCTGCACGTTACGTTATAATTAATAATTGGGCAAGGGTAGTTAAAAATACTAGCACAGGTTGCACGCCAGTTGATTAAATTTGACACAGTTTACGTTGACGATGGCAGCGCGTGAGGGGCTGGCAATTTTGGGTAAGAAAAGGGTTCAAATTGTGGTTGATTTTTGGTGACATTTATGGTAGTAATTTATGTGGGAGGGAGATAAGAGTGAAGCGACGCCTCGTGGCCTCCTGTTTCAATGAGTTTCAATGTATGAGGACTATTTTACAAATCTGCTATAGAATTATCATAGAATTTATTAACATGCACCACTTTGTTCACATAAAAGTCATGTATAAAGTAAAAAAGTTATTTTTACAACCTAAAATTCATCCTGCTAACAGTTGCTTAACAGTAAAATTTTTCTGTTATTGGATCACCTGTGTTAATATCATTTGAGCATAACATAAATAATTGAAATGGTTGGCAAGGCTAGCAAAGACACGACCCGAAGTATCCAATTCACAAGCCACATCGAATATGCTTGTTTGGTAAATTCGAAATTAAGATAAAAATCGCGTTCGGAATTAATTCGAATATGGTTTATGACTTGGATAAAGGACAATTTACCAAGTGGTATAAGAAATGTACAGACTTTTTAGTACAAAGAATAATTAGTATACTTAATTGCACTAAATCTAATTATCTGTATGAATTATGAAGAAAGATTGAAAAAGACGCCCAGACAATAAAGTCTATAATAGGATTCATTAAAGCGTCAATCAGCGCCTCCTTGAAACATAAATTCCACAGTTTGGTTGTGTCCACCTTGGTTCGGCAGAAGACCCATCTTAAACCTCTTCCGATGTATGGATCTTCGCACCCGGTTGTATAACGCATCTAAGGTCGAGCAAGTTCCGTAGGATTTGCATTATATAGTAAGCAAATTGATGAAAACATCAACCAACAGATAGAACACTACATGTTCATTGACATGCTTGCACCCTGTAAAGAGCGAGGCATATTCCCTCTTCTTAACTAGTTATACAGCTAGGCGGCCACCAAGCCAGCCAGACAGTAGCTTGCTTCTCTTATATTTCTCATGTATTTCTATGTATTCTCTTTATTCTCATATTTGAGCATAATATCACGGGCCAATTTCATTTCATCGAGCAGTGCTCCCAGCTGGGCACATTCAATATTAACTATATGCGTGGTATCTTTAGGTAGTCCATCGACTAATTCTTGCGAGATTTTAAGTTCCAAGGTGGCACAGTTTGGGGGCGTTTCCCCAGGCGAGGTAACATTTCGTATGCTTTGCAGCTCATTAACTGAAAGTCGAATGAAAGTTGATTACAAATGGATATCATGTGATTTAGGGAATGACCTACTTCTAAATGCCTTATCTATAAGTTTTTGTCTTATGACCGTGGCATGCGCTTGCAGGACTCGGCACATGGCCGCCGCATGATCCTTGGGCAAGCCAAGCTGTTGAATTTCTTCTCCAAAGATTGTCTCGGAGCAGCTATACCGTGCCGCGTTCGTGAGCATATAGTGAACGCAGGCAACGGCTGTTTTACCATCATTTGTAACACACGAAGTGAGAGACCTTACAATAGCTTCCTGTAGAGTAAACCAAATTAGGTTACGTTCTGTAGATTTTATCAGTAACTTACTTCAAACTGTTCGCCGCTGATGCGCTTGGCCACTATCTGGGCCAGTTGCTCCAAGTTGTCGACGCTCAAGTTCGAGAGGGTGGATATGATTTCAGCTAAAACCCAATCAGGACAATCGCCATCGCCACAAAATCGAAATTTCTGCAAGAAGGAAGTGGAATTGTGTTTAATTTTAAGATAAGTAACAAGTGCATAAGGACTTTCTCAAAAGCACGCGTCACAACTACTTGTTTTCCCCTTTGCACGCCTACGCACTTTGTCATTCGTCATGTCCCAAGTAAATTAAAGAGCAGGATTCAACAAGTGGGCTAATTCGAGAGAAAAGAAAAAATGCGCAAAGTGTAGCACACTCGTATTTGCATATGATTAATTTCATGCGCTTGCCTGCTAATCAGCCAGCAATTTGTACAACTGGCTGACAAGGCTGCCAAAAGGGGTGCACAACTGTGGGTTGTGGCAGGGGGCGGTGCGGGCAGTGCGGGCGGCTGACTGCCACAAGCTAATGAGCAGCTTGTGACATATAAAGGCGACTCGCAGTGGCACGCTGTTTCAAGTGAACGTCACGTTTATCTACGGGCAGGATTAATAAATTTTCAACGGGGGAACGCAAAGAAAAAAATATATACAAATGAGCAGCAGTTAGCAGCTAAAGAGTACGCCGTAAATTTATGACACTTGTTGCTGGACGCAAAGCCAACCCCCACACGGCCCATAGATCCGAACAGCCGTAGCCGTAGCGCTGCTTATTAGGACTCGCTCTTTAGCCGTGTGTAACGGCTTAGAAATGTAAACGACAACGTTTTATAATTATTTTATGAACTTCAAAGTTGGCAGACGTCTGTGGGTGGCTCGGACTACCTCGCTGCTGGCGGTATATAAGGCCATTGTAAGTGCCCTTCGAGTGCACAGTTGCTCATTGCTAATCTACAAGTGCGCGCGTGCCGCCGAAAAGGTTTCTAAAAGGATTTACAAACGCACATCAACTGCATCAACGAGGATGCTGCCCACTTGGCGCTTGCTGTTGCTGTTGGGCATTTGTAGGCAGCTATATGCTCTGCCCGCGCACACGTCTGTGGATCTGGAGCTGAACACCTGCGAGCTGCAGTTGGCCAAGTATCGCAAGTTCATTCTCCAGGCCATACTCAGCTTTGAGGATGTGTGTGACGCGTACAACGCTCGACCCGTACCACCAGAGGATGCCCCGCTATCCGAGACCTGGCTGTTCCATCAATATGCTCCACCACCAACATCCCAGCGCGGTGAGATCTGGGCCTTCTTCAAGCTGCTAATGGCACAGTTCAATGACGTTGAGTTCGCGACCATCATACGAGATGCGGTCATAGAGCGCTGTCGTTTTAAGCTCCAGCGGGACGACAAACGCAATTCGGTTGTTCTGGGCAAGAAGCAGCGGTTCCATTCCTGGGGCGGCAAACGTTCGCCGGATCAAGCAGGGGGCGGACCGCTAATCTCATTGCCCGAAACAGTGTCGGGAGTAGCCGGCACAGGCATGGAACACAATTATTACTAATCCCGAACTTTTCATTGCCCGCATCGGAAATGGCACAACAGCTATTGTCCCATCTACTACTTCGTTCCAGAAATGTATGAAATGTCAATCTATCAATTAATTACAGCACTAGCTCTAAATGTTTACCAGCAAACAATAAAAACGCAGCGAGAGGTTACTCACCATCCTTGTGCGATTGTTGTTATTAATTCTTTTTATATTTTTGTTCAATCTTATTAGGAACGCTAAACAAATATCGACTTCCTCCACAAATATATCGATTAGCATGTTTGCTACTCACATGCAATCGTTTGGTTCGTTAATTTACCGTTCGATATATCGATAGAGAAAGTGGCGCCATGTTTAAAATGTATGACTTGAAATTAACTCACAAAATATAAATAGATATCATGTGAAAATATTAATCATATTGCCAATAGACATCGTTCTTATAAAATGCACTACTCTTTGTGCAACAGTAAAGAAATTTTTAAATATATCAATTAGTTTACATTGTTTGAGCATATAGATACTAATCTACGATTAACGCCTTGAAGCAACACCCCCAAACACGCCCATTTGTAATCACAATTCCTCTCAAAATGCTGCAATCAAAAACGAATTGTAAATTTGTTATACAGATGCGCTTTGCTGCGATAAGGACGCGTCAAATTGATAGCCACGTCCTGATAAACACAGTCCAAAACGGATTGAAGGTGCTTCAGCCGGGGACACGACACAACAAATCCATAAACCTTGTCTATAAATACTTACATACCATACCTAGCTCGAGTGGGAGGTAGGGGGAATAAAAGCTGCAAGCTGTCACTCACATTGCATGTGCTGCTTCAAGTTATCTCATCTCGGCTGTGCGGTTCATCAAGCCTTTGGCTCTGGGAACACGCTCAAAACAAATGTTAACTAATCGCGCCTGGGCCATGCCACAAATCTGAATTTGAAAAAGCATTCAACTGATAATCGAAAACCAAATCTACAAATAACTAAATCACAACGTATACGATTTTCTATCTCCTTTTTTGCTGATTCGATTAGACTGCGCCACTGTCAAGTTGCGAGACGCCCGCCTGGGGAGCTGGCGTGAAAGGTTGGGGATTTCTCAAACATAAAATACTGATTACAGTTTGATAAGGTGATAAGGTTCAGGTGGGTGGGCTTGTAATAACAAGTCCGTGTCTATATGTATAATATATAGTTATCTGTTCTTCTGATTGATTTTTTAATCCAGAGACTATCCAAGCCGTGTCAACACTTTTCCCAAAATCCAACCCATTTTGGTAGAAAATGGGGATCTAAAATTTTTTGTGTGCAGATTTTCAACGATCAACTTCAAACTTACCTTCGAAGCTTTACATTATAAAGCAACAAATAAATAAATGAAAGGAACTGTGAAAGTTTATTTGAGCAGTGTTTTATACTTTTTACAAAAGTCCCCTCCTTGGTAAACATTTAATGGCAAACATTTTATAGTTTTGTTTTAAATATCATATATATGTATATATATATATATATATATTTTTATATATTTATATCAAGGCTTTTGTACTCTCGGCTTTAATGAAATTGTCAATTCTTTACATTTTAGAGGATGCGTAGTTTTTAATGTGCCGGGCAAAGCCGAATATTCGCTATTCCATAAGCATTTCAAAGGGTGAACAGGAATTCTAAAAATAATAGGGCTTTGGTAAGCGCTGCTATATTTAAATAGCACCTGAACCCACGAACTCAGATTTTTAAGCGCATTAACTGAGGCAATCTAATTGCGGAACTAAGTCGCAGCTAATCAGGTCGTTTTGCATTCCTAGTGCAGCTCCCCGCCACCTGGTTAGCTTTGAGACACGTCCATCTCCCCCGTAAGCCGGAGGGCAAGTCAAAACCCGGGCATGGGCTATCTGCCACTCATTAGACAAATATATGCAGTCAAGACCTGTACTTTTTAATGCGCCATAAATCACATCACCCAAAAAATTAAAAACGTCTTATCAATGTTTTTTATATTTTCAAAAATGAATACATTTTATGTGGGGTCTGGTCGAAATTATGATGCCACCTAAGGCGCCAGTCAAATCAGAGATATAGCTTCAATATTTTAAAAAACATCCAACCATCGACCAGTTAACATATAATATAAACAAAATCAAGCTAAATGAGAACTTTTCACGTGTTAAATACTGAACTTATGTCAAACTGATGCTACCAGCAAACTATTCAAACTCGCATCCACCAGTTAATACAAACCATTTTTGATTTCAGTCGCGGCTTCAGGTCTTTTAAATTATGAATTCATAATTAAATCCATAAACCTTAAAATTAATGCGCTTTCAAATGATGTGCATCAGAAATTGTATTACGTTTAATTTGTATATTCAAAATAAAATTTTAAAAGCGGATGACAAAAAAAAAACCTCGACAAAGATTTCAGAAAACAAGAAATAACAGCAAAAGATTTTATATAAGTATTTTAATTGTTTAAAAATGACAGAGAATGTCTTAAACAGGTAGCGAAAAACACAACAAAAATTAAAGGTGCTCTACTGACTTAGAGATACCCTCTACTCTGCTATAGTTATTTGCAAAAATTCATGGTCTGCGTCCAATTTAATAATTTCTTTGTATATTTTTAATTTACAGCTCGTACTTATCACCCCTCTTTCTCTCTCTCCAGCTCACCCTCTTTCATTCTGTCTATCTCTCTTTCAATCTCTTAATTGCAAAAGCTGGTCATCACAAAAACATAAAAAACTGGGGCAACATGTACATAAAGCTGATAGTAAGTTCCAAAAACAGCTGATTAAACAGTCAAAAGAATAAGAACAAGTAAAAGTGCTCTAGTCGGGAATGCCAGACACGGGTATACCCTGTACCTGTACTTGATTTGCTGCTCTTCTTCTTCGCATAGTACCATTATTCTTATTTCCAATATTAACGACTTTCTGCGGAGAGCTTGTCTGAGAGCTTGTTCCCTGACAAAGAACATGCACTCAATAAGACATTTGGTCATGTTCCCACCCATTTTCTACAAATACTGGGTATAATAAATAAGAAGCAACTGCAAAAAATCACTTTTCAATTTAGTCATTGAACTTCTTATTTGAAGAGGAAGAAACTGAATAGCCAATGATAAGCAGTGCGTCTCTTGTCGCGCGATCGGCTAGCAACAACAAATGTTTGTACATAAAAAGAACCCAAAAGACCCCACATAACAATTATATGATTAAAATAAAAACTTGATTAGCGTCCGATAAGATACACAAATGAACCAACGGAGACTGGAAAGCTGTCCACAAATACTCTTATATTAAAGCAACACCCAAGCACTTCGCCTTTCGTCGCCGGGTCTCGTTTGTGCCGTGGGCGTGCAGGCATTCATATTAGCCTCATGTTACACATGCATGTTGTCTTATTTTTATACCCTGAGTCCATTCGTGGGCGAAAATTCAAGTTACATGCTGAAGAAAGCTTCATCGACCACACCAACACCATATATTTCTGTCCTCCTTTCGGTCCACGAAGGCGTCGATCCAGTCCTTAAGCTGAGAGGACAAAACACAAATACAGATTATTATTTGGTTTGCCCCAAAATTAAATAGAAATTGAAGCTATTATATTAAGTAAGGTCTTTGGTTTACGGAAACATAACTATCAGAGAAATAGGACTAAAGCACAGAATTGGGAATATTAAAATTTGCCCTTCTCCGAACAGAGGCCTACATTCTCTGCCATCGCAAATAAACTAAGTATATTTGTTATAATCAATCGCATAAATTATTAAACACACTTCATACAAGGGGAGGAGTTTTCCACTAAATTTATACATAGTATCTCCTCTGTGAAATTAAGCTCCCCTGCTCTTAGGATTTGGTCTAGGCCTTGATCAGCAATCAGTCAAACTGCCAATCTCATATGCTTCCCCTGACAATCACGCGTTTTGTGAATGCACCATAAGTGCCTACACCTACAACTATTGATATAATGTTCGTTGCTGTCAATCACAGACATAAAGTCTGTTCCATTGACGTCACAAAGTTGCATTGCAATATAATTTGTAACAGTTCCTTTTGAACCCGGTTTGCAGATAAGACCGCTGACCCTTAGCATTATACTGCGCATGTAAACACATAGAAGACCAAAGGCTTTTAAATAGAACATATTTAGTTAATTGTTGACCGTTGACTAAGTGCGCAGATCAATCCGTCAATCGTCTAAAAGTGTTTATAGAACACAATTCGCTTGTTATAATTGCATTTTACTTCTCATTTCGTTTTTAAAGGCAACGAAAACAAATTATAAAAATTGAAATTTCCAATCGTATCGGTAGTTATTTATAAACGACTTTATGAAGACGACCATATAATGTTAATCAGCTCAAATGTGCCCTGATAAGCTAAAAGGTGACCCACTTGAGGCTAATGTGTGTTTTTAAAAATGTCAGGGGCATTGTCAGGCACAATAAAGTGGGAACTACAGAGTATATATGCTCTATATTTTGGCCGATACAACGATAGTTTCAATAGTTTCAAAACCCGATGATAATGCTTATAATATTACATATTTTCATCAACATCGAATTTGGTAAAAACTTTAATTTTTTAAATCATAATTAGTAAATTATTCATGTTCAGAGTATTGCAATTATCAATAGAACAATATCAAAAACCAATACATTTTGAACCAAACCATCTTGGTTCGGTTCATGTTTAGGTTTGGCTGTTGTCAAGCCAGCCAACCCGGCTTAATGCTCAGCTTATGGTGAGAAAAAAAAAATAGTCATTCCGGGCATAATCAGGTTCGACTCGAGACCGGCTTGCAGTCTTACTTTTTACACCGTCTCGCTTTAACCCAATGGTAAAGAAAACAATCCTCCAGACTCGAAGCCATTTGCTTCCATTCAAATAAACAAATCAATTCGTCAAGCATACATATAACTAAAGTAAATAAACTAAACGCAAACTGCGGTTGAGTTTTTGCCAGACCATCAACTGATAGAGTTCAATGAGCCGAACATACTGACTGAATAGGCGTAAATAGCTATTAATGTGTTATCTAAATTACTTGCTCTAAAATATATAGTACAAATCAAGCTTTGAACAACCTCCTGTTGAAGGTTAATTCAATTAAAATTGCGTGCTCCAAGCAAATTAGGCGAATATTGGCAAATTAAGTTGAGCATTTCTAAAATCATGTGCAATATATATATTCGCACATTTCTGCGATGCACCTGCCGACACGCTTTTCGGCTAAGCAATTTACCCGTCTGACGCACTGCCCGGTTTTTCTGCGAGCATCTAGCATCTACCAGCTACATAGTGCCAGCAGATACTTTTCTATCTATGTATCTGTGCAGTGCAATGCACGGACTTAACATTGAATGCGATGCTCAAACATGTTTTATGTTGCCTCGTTCGTTTTTATGTTAATGTCCCATAAACCGGAACCGGAATGAAAATCTCAACTGTTGCTGCCAATTTTTATAAATGTCCACAGCTATATTTCCCTTTCCTCCCGTATGCCTAGTTTCAAAGAAAGGCGGAACTACTTGAGGTCTGTTATGTATTTAATGCTGGGTTTTCGTTTATGTATCGAATTCGCTTAACAAATGTGTCTCCTTTTTGTATATTTGTAAGAAAATATGCATTTAACAAATTTACTATTGTAATATACAATTCTATATTATTTTTAATCATTCTGACTGACTGATTGACTGATTGGTGATCATCTCAAGATAGCAGCTTATGTGATGGAATTTTACAATTTAAATATATTTTAACTATTTAAATTATATGTATGTACGTGTGTATGTATGTATGTATGTATGTATGCATGTATGTATGTATGTATGTTTGTATGTATGTATGTATGTATGCATGTATGTATGTATGTATGTATGTATGTATGTATGTATTAATGTATGTATTTAAGTATATATGTCTGTATGTGTGTATGTATGTATGTATGTATATATGTATGTATGTATGTGTTTATGTACGTAAGTGTGTACGTATGTATGTATGTGTGTGCGTGTATGTATGTATGTATGTATGTACGTATGTATGTATATATGTATGTATGTGTGTGCGTACGTATGTGTGTATGTATGTATGTATGTATGTATGTATGTATGTATGTATGTATGTATGTATGTATGTATGTATGTATGTATTTATGTATGTATGTATGTATGTATGTATGTATGTCTGTATGTATGTATGTGCATGTACATATGCATGTACATATGTGAGCATGTATGTGAGTATGCCTGTGTGTTTGTATGTATGTATATTTATATACAAGATAAAGTTTACTCCTAGCGTAGCTGCAAATTCAAAATAAACGTATTTTGTAAAAATGCCCTTCTACGTGATTCTCATAAATTCAAGTAAGTCAGTTCAGAAGCAGCAGCCGACTTCAACTGTAGAGGAGTCGGCAGCTTCTGCTATAGAGGAGGTGACGGCTCCTACTATGGAAGACGGTAGCTTCAGCAATAGAGGAGGAGACGGCTTCTACTATGGAGGACGGTGGCTTCAGCAATAGACGAAACGTCAGCTCGAACTATAGAGGAGGAGGAGGTGGCCTTAAGGCCACGGAGACTATTCTTTAAGTAATGCAGGAGACGGCAGCTTCTACTATGGGGGATGCGACAGCTTTATCAAAAGAGGAGTTGATAGATTGAAAAGATTGATTGGTACGTATTTTGAACATATTTATCTTTTATTTTACGTAACCAATATTACAATCGTATGTATGCATGCTTGTTTGTATGTATGTTGAGCTGAGCTTAAATTGAACAAAAAACGTATGTACACATATTACTCTACTACTCGATTCTCTCTAATTCAAGTATGGATTAGCAATCACGCTGCGTTTTACTACTTATAATAAACATTATCTCTTTTCTGCTCTTTCAGTGATGTGATTATATAAAAGTTCGTCTCCCGCCTACCGATTGATGACGATAAAATAATGTTGCGTGTGAATTAACAGGTGAGCACGTAATTAAAACTCATATTTGTACATTTATATAAATACGAATACATTTTGTTTGCACATATGTATAGGTCCCATAAAGTTGCTGGTAAAATTTACAGCGTGTATTTAGCTTAAAAATAGGTATGAATTCTAGATAAAACATAACTAGGCAGCCGAAATTATTACTAAGTTACCTAATGTGATGGATGCGCACAGTAAACCGGCTTAAGCCGGTGGAAAAATCGCGAAAAACGTTTCTAAGACACTTTTCTCCGCTTTCAACTTTTGCTTTTATTCGATGCATATTTTCAAATTTAAAATGTTCCGCGGTCGGTACCAGGGTAAAAAACTTATGTCTTAAATTTCAATTTTAATATTTATTCATTTGAAACGGTTAAGCCATGCCTAAAAATGGCGAGCAACTAAAATGTCTACATTTCGCACAATATTTGAAATAAGTTAAGATACTAATCGGATACTGATTAAGAATCTTGATATCCCCCCTCGACATGTGTCAAAAATAGGATTTCTTAGTCACATTTTTGGAATTTCGTTGGAGTGTTGAAAACCTATTATTTTTTGATGATAATAATAAATGTATTGTATCAGTAAATTTAAATAAAATAATTGTTAGCTTGCAAATAGGTAAAGTACTTATAGTACACAATTTATTGGCAGCAAGTTTTCAATTTTGACCTTTTGTTCAGTTGTGGGTGCAATTAAAAAACTCTATTAAAATGCCCACAACAGATGTTCAAAACTGATTTCGGATAGAAAAAAAAGTGTGAACAAATATTGTTACTGGGTGACAACTAAAAATAATACTATGTGAATATCCGGCAACCTGTTTGCCGCTTGAATATAATGTCAAAGCAAACAAATGCCCAAAACTCAATTTGCGACTCGCCACTATCAACAGCTAAGCAAATATATTACAGACATATAGGCAAACATATGTGGCTAGTCTCGTCTGGTTCGTTTCAGACTATAATTATAGGCTAATACCAACAACAAAAACAAAAAAAAGCAAATCCTAATAGTTTGTGTCTATTGATAAGGCGCCGAACTATGCGCTCGTTGATTAACATGAGTTTTCGGATTTTTGTTTTGTTTCGTGTTTTTATTTTTTTTTTCGGGTCTCGGCTCGTTACAGAGTTCTGGGAGGAGTTGGCCGCTTATCAGTGGCCAGAATGGGCCCTATCATAATTGCAGGCAGACGTCGCGTCGCGCTGATGTCAATGAAACAGTTTTTCACATTTTCAAACTACTCCGCCCCTCTCTCTCTCTCTCTATCACCCTGTCTCTATCGAGGGTTTCGAGCACAAGTGAAAAACGTGATCAGCTCGTGTTCGTGCGGCTTCAGGCGAACCACAAACAAGGCCTGGGTCTTTAAATAGACGTAGAGTCGCGTCGTACATTTCTATATTTGCATAATAAATCGCATAATTAAGTTTCAAGCGGGAGCTACAATGGAAAATTACGCGGCAAAATTACGCGATGCAAAACAACATATATTAATCGATCATCGGTTGCATTTTCTAAGCGCCTATTCCATTGACCCTCACCCAACGATAACAGTTTTTCAAACGATTTTTCAAATGATTATAAGGTTATACAATTTCTAGTATGGGGCTTTTTATATATATGCATGTATGTATTGCAGTTAGCTGTAATATATTCCATTTCCCTTATGCATTGAAGCGAATTTGCAACAGTTTTCTTCTTCTCTTTTATGCGAGATCTGTTGCCAAATAATTGATCACGCCGCGATCAGGTGCTCTAGGTCAGTAACGGCATGATTTTCGTCCGCCAAAAATAAACCCAGCTATATTTATGAATTTTGTGTTTAGTTTATGCTGCGCAGTTTATCAGCTGCCCTTGCCCCCGCCCCAAACAACGACCCCCGTCCCAGTCTGCGCATCAAGATCGCGCCTGCATTGATAAGAACTGAGTCGCACGCCTCGTTTCTAAATTTAAACCTTCGGGCGGGTTTACTTATGTCTACTACAAATACTATATAATATATGCTAGGCATATGCTAAGTATTTTCTAGCTAAACAGCCACAAGTCGTAGATACGCCCATTTTTTGCTGTTCCTAAATAGAGTACATAATCGCTGATAATCTTTTCACTTTTGGCGCCGCTGATGTTGCTGATATTGGCAGCTCGGCTGATTTCGTCAGCTTGTTGTTGCTATTGCCCAGCTGACTAGCTGCCCCCCAGTTCTCGGGTCCAGACCCTATCCCAGACGACGTTGCGCGTTTATTTTTGTACACTGCATTTGGCTTGGCTTCCAGGCATGACAAAGTCGAGGGCAAAACGTGGCGATTTTGTTCCCTAGAAGAAGTGTGTGTTAACATCAGTTATTAGATGCAATTCACGCACTCAACGAATGATACAATTTTGTAATATTATAAAATATCAATTTCGTACATATTCCATGTGTGAGTTTGAGTTCTGCGAAACATTGCATGGTTCACAACTGCTTCAAAATTCATTCATAGACATAACACTCGGCCAAAGATCAAAATACCAACTTGTTTAAGTTCAGATTACACTATAAGTCGTAACTAGACTTTGATAGAAAGCTATAGTTTTTGGATAATATACTTTATCACTGGATCTGTGTTCCATCCCACCCAGCCAAAAAAGGAAAGTCGTCAATTAAATAATGCATCACATCCGCTGCTCGGATCACACATGAAAATTATAACAGAAATAGACAGACAGCTGGCTATAAGACATAAATATAAATATTTTAGTGAAATATTTGCAGTTTTTCAAGTGCGCTTCATAATCGAGTCTGAGGATTGTGACTGCTGCACATGGCCAACGCTTCAAAGGGCACTGCACCAAGATAGCATCAAGGTGGAGAGAGAGAGAAAGGAAGATCACCCTGAGTAGGGGGCTAGTCGAGTCTATGTGCATATATAGTATAGTATATATAGGCAAATGTTGATGGAGTGGCCGGCAAAAACGCGACAAGCCACTCCAGAAACGAAGCAGCGTTAAACCGGCTCTTAGCCAAGGCAATCGGGTGGTGGTCAGGAAGGAGCAGCGACTAGGTGAACAAGTGCCGACCAGCCGGCCGGCCGGCACATCTGCGCAGCGCACTCTGAAACCGGCCTGAGAGATGCTGTGAGCCCCAAAAGCAAATAAGTTACTTGGACTTGGAGTAGCGTGTGTGTTGCGTGCTCGTATTTCCCCTACCCAAGTGCCACCCAATGAAAGTGGCACAGTGGTTACGGATCAATCGAAACACTTGAACAAACTTGTTGGACCCTTCATCCAAAAATGCATTATCATAAGAGACAGATCACGCATTGTGAGAGCATTTCTCGTCTACCTAAGGCCCGACTAAGACCTACGCCGCCATTTCTGAATGTCAACGAGTCACGCACGCCACACACAAATACACACACGGGCACACACACACAGACACACTTTCTATGCACCAGACAAGAAAAACACTCAGACCCATACGATGCGTGGCGGAGAATGTCGACAATTTCCCAGAGTTGTCGTCGTCATCTATCTGATGATGTGGGTAATACAAATGAAAACGCTCGTAAGTCCCTTTATGTGGTATTTTTAATGGGTTCATTGGATAAATTAATAGCTAATAGAAATATTATATTATAAAAGTTGGAATACAATTATTTATTTATATACGTAGACATCGATTTGCTTTTTACTCCTAAATCCCACTTGGATCAGATAATTGATTTAAATATAAAAATTGTGATATAATTTCTTTATAATTCAACACTTGTCATGCCTTTAGCGCAACCGATATGCTTGCTGAATTTAAACGTAGCGCATGAGAAAGTCGATGAAAAAAACCAGATTACACAGCGACAACTTTTACACAATTCCCCCCAAAAGCATAATTGATTTAGAGCTGTCGACTCGACAAAGACAATGTATGACAAACATAAATTGCATAAAGAAAAGCGTAGGCTGTAAAGGTGTTTGGGTTACCGATTGCAGCTAAGTATAAGCCCCAAACCTTATAAAGAGAAACCACTCAAACGACTCGAACCATAAGACGTCAGCAAGTTGTTGTAGACACTCAAACGAATGAGTGGGTACTCGTTCGGTGAGTTTTTTCTATGGGCATGGCTAAGGATGCAAGATTAAAGCAAATAAGAAGGATGCAATAAATAAATAGCATACAAAATCAGCTGCCTTAAGTCGTAGACGTAGATGCTGATCGCACGGAAAGTTGTTTGACAAAACATAGAATACATGTGTGAATACTTGTACGACTATTCGCATTTATTAATAAAACGAATGCCCAAAATGATCGCACGCGCTAATGATCGTACGCTGATCATGTCCATCCAGCCTGACACATTAAGTGGCTTTGGCTCTGAGGCGCCATCTAAACCTAACGAAAATCGCAACTAAACCAGACGAACTTAACTAAACTGAATGCCAACAACAACTATCGCTGCACTATCATTAAAATGCAGCCACACTCAGCGTAGAGGGAATGCGAGGCAGAGAGTGGATGAGAGAGAGAGAGTGTGCGAGCGCCTTCCAGACCATACGACGATCGTACTGTAACGCCGCTCTCTGGGTTCGTGCGGACTGTGGCTGGTGGTGGCCTGAGTCGTTGGGTTGGCCGTTAGCAGTCTTGACGGCGAGTTGCTGTAGCAGCGACAGTTTATTCGTCTCTGAGTCGTCGAGGCGAACGGTACTCACAGCCGGATTGCAACAGGCAACAACAAAACGCGATGCGGTCCTAATTATTCGTGTCGTTAAAGCAAAATACTAAAAATAACATCAAATCATATATAACCACAAAAGAAGAAAAGAAAAGAAAAAACGCGCGAATTTTTATTTGTAAAAGAAAAAGGAATATAAATCAATAATATTAAATTATTGTTAATTCGTTTTGGTGCTCGTCGTTTTGTTTTGTGCGGTGCTGCCAAAAAAATTGTGTGTGCTTGTGTTTAAAATTTAAATATTAATTTTTACACAACAAATTTCATTGTCTGACGCGCGTTGCCAAGCCCCACGAACATCGCGCGTGATGCACATATGAAAGAAAATCTCTAAGAAAGTTGGGCAAAAATAAATAAATAAAGTGATACCAGTAAAGTTCCTTAATACACAGAGATTGAAAGATAGAAACGGAGAGTATAAGGCGAGCAAGAAAGAGAGAAAGAGCTAAGACGAGAAACACAACAAAGTCATATACCCACAAACGGTAAGTTTCTTAGCAAAAGCTAATATTCAACTCAAATAAACGTAAACAAAATGAATGTGTATATGTACAAATATTGCTTTTTATAATCATTTTCCATTACAATCCATAATTCGAATCATTTTATAAACATTTGCATTCAAGCATTTTGTTTATAGTTAATTCCAATTAAAATAATTTACGCTTCGTTTAAATCCAAGCCATTTTGCTCACTCTATCAATATTTTTCTCTTCTTCCAATTTTACAGGCCCTGCTGCTAATTACAACAGCAACATCAATCGTAGTTCCTTGTTTGAGATCTATAGAGAAACGACAGCCTATAAAATGATTTCACACAGTCCACCCATATTCAGTCACAGTCCACCCGTTAGTTTCCTAGCGGACTACATGAGCGGACATCAGCGTCAAACATTAAAGTAAGTTCGAAAATCATTTTTGAATACTACAAACCCAAATTGGGGGCAGTGAATCTACTCAATGCTAATTGAATTTAATTGAATATGCGACTTTCGGCAACGAATCAAAATTCAATTGTTTTTTATTATCTATTTTATTATTCATTTATTTATTGAATTTATTTTTCGTAAAGAGACTAGTGAAAACTCAAATTAATTCCTTAAGCTTTGTATACTTTCTCCAACTTCAAGCTTAAGTCACGTCTTAGGCATTCTTATCGAATAAAAAAGAAATTCTGGAATTTCTCTTATCATTTGATAGCAGAGAGTATTTTCTGATATACTCCTAAAGAGACGCCTACGTGTTTTAGTAACAGAAAACAAAACAAGTTCGTTTTATAATGCTCCTTAAAGAAGTGCTGATTAATTATATTATTGTACTTATCGTGTAAATTTGCTTATAAGTCATATTATATAATGAATAGGTAAAAGTCTGATATCAATTATGACATCGATAACGGCTGTTAAAACAAAAGACAATGAAATAACAGCCAATATCTTGCTTAGTTGTATTCGATAATATATTATTTTATAGCTTTCAAGTCGTAACTCAAGAAAAGAATATCAGGGCTATTTTTTTCAATTCTCACAATTTCAAGTCATAAATTTAAGGTATTACAAAACACACTCCATATGTAGGTTAGTTCAAAAAAACATTATACAAACAATGAACGCAATTGCATTATAAGTATGTTTATTGTAAATATCCATGTTTGCCTGTCAGTCTCCGACTGTTAGTAGGATAAATATTGATATAAGTTTAACTGAGGACGGAAGCAATTTTGCTTTTGTCATAAGATATTGCGGCAGAATTAAAGGGGTTAAGGGCTTCGGTGCTTGCAGAAGTATGTTGATATGCACACACATTTGCACATATGCACAACAATGAGGCACACACTAAAAATATGTCTAAATCTCTGGTTGACAACAGAATTTGAAAGCATTCAAGATCAAGGCGTTCGAATAATCAAAACAAACTTTCGCAAAGTCTTAGAGAGCGGCTACCCGGACGGGTGTCTCTTTTGCCGGACACGAGCACGAGTACGGCAAATGACGCTGACGGCGACAAATTTGCGCGTGGCGCTTGAAAAATGAAACAAACTTTTCGGTTTGGGGGCAATATTAATAAGGAAAGTTGGGTCGGGGAGTCTGCTCGAGGTCTGTTGACGCAATTGATATAAATCATGCCCGGATCCTCGTGTGTGAGGCTTATTTGCAGCTTTAGTGCATTAATCAGAAAACATTGGAATATGTATAACACAACAAGTTTAAACTAAAAATAAATTTCTTTATTTTAGACTTAGCAAAACAAAAATTTCAAAATTATTACTTCAAATATGCATAGGTATGAATAAAAATAGAAATTATACTAAAATATTTGGTCAGCTATAAAAAACGATAAATTCACGTGATTTAAATACTGGCCACACGTTTAATATTCACAAGGAATTTGGTTACTTGACATTTTAGTTGTTTTGATTCTTTAACTCGTCACTCTTAAGCACTAAATAACTTGGGACTCTTTAAAGAGCTAGGCAAATAGATTTCCCTTTAGTTTTTGCGTTAGCCCAATAAATAATGGGGGAAAAAAGTGGGCTTATCAGACATTGACTTTATAGTTTTCCTGTGTCTAGCCAAAAACAACAATTTTTGATATGAATCAGCGAAATAGAAAAATTGCAAACAGTTGTTCTCTGTCTCTGTCTCATGGTCTTTCCAAAAATAGTACGCCATGATGAATCACAATTGAAAGAGACCCAAACAATTGTGAATACATACATAAATACGAATACCCATCCCATGGATTACTATTCAAATCAAGTGCAGAGGTCGTGCGTAATAGATTCAACAAGTTCTGCGCTTATCAATGCCAGAAGCCTGGCGCTATTTCTTTATAGATAGTACATGCCCTGCCCATAATACGGCAGCCGAACAATGCCATGCCGAGTACATGCCGCGTATTATCTCACAGAAATAAAAGACAGACCCAGAATAAAGACAACCTTATCAGGCTGATAAAAAGAAAGTAAACGTGAGCGCCGCATGTCCCCTCGTACGATTGCTTTCATAATGCGCAGATTATTTAAGAGCCATACCGAAATGTGGCACATACTATATACAATATACTATATACTATTCTATTATATGCTCGTACATACTCATGTGAGATTCTTAATCTTTGGCCTGCTTACAGCTACAATGACGAACCCAATACCATAGCCTCGCGTTATTGCCGTCCTCAAGCGGTAACTCTGGCCTCCAAAGCGATGGTCAACAACGCATCCAATGCTGCCCAGGGTCAGCATCTGCCCGCCAAGACTGGTGGCACGCCCCTTGGCGTTGGCAGTCGCTCCGGCCGCAGCTATTTGGAGCGCATGGTCTCTGCCCCGCTGCTGCAAACACAGCCCAAATCGTGCCTCAGCCGCAAATCCTGCCTGCACAAGAGCAACCAAAGCTTCAGCATCGCCTCCACGGATGCTGCACCCACGGAGCATGACGATGTGACAGACAGCAGCAGCAACAGCAGCAGTGATTCAAATGGATTTGCTACCTGCGAGCAAAGGTAAGCTGTCAGGGGAGGGGCACTTGCATAAGTGTAAACCGAGTGGTTCGCAACAAACCGCTATCAATTTGACGTCAATCAGAGGTGGCACTGGCGCCGCCGTCATTTGGTGACCACAGCCACAAATTGAACTACATATGGTGTGGTTGACTGGGTCTGAGGTGTGGGATTGATTAAAAGTGAAATCCAATAGGTTAAATAGAAAGCGAACGAAGAACTTTAACGCTGACTGCAAGTTTGAGAGATCGCTAAGTTAAAGAAAACAACTTCAGAAACTTCCCATTTTCGGTACATTTGAACCAAATTTGGCCAGATATCAAGAAAAAACAACTACACATCCAAATCCAAACATTTCTTTTGGCAGTCGTTAAGTTTTTCTAGACGTCATAGCGAACACATGTCACGGGGGCAGACGTAAAAAATAGTATACCGTATATAAAATTGCATGAGCTAAACAAAAACAAATACATATAATAAATTTATATATGCATATACATTTTTTTATATATTGGAAGAGCCAGTTTAAAAATCTGACCATTTCTCCATCGCCACGCTACATAAGCTATATGTGCCTTATATTCTTAAAATGTTTTTATTATTTGTTTATCTTATCTTCGAAATATTTGCATAAGCTCGAGCTGCTCACCAGATTTGTTTGCTTGATTCCTTTGTTCGCTGCACTTGAATTTGGCATTTTAAAAAATGCCTTTAAATATAAAATGGAAAGTGCAGCCCGACGAGACAACAGAGATCAGTGCGAGTGCACATTAAAAATACACTATTTTTGGTTAAGCAATCTCTAGACGAGGCTATCCACCATCTGATACGCCTAAAAGCGATTGCGATATACGTTTAAAACACACACACACACACACCCATAGCTATTATCAATGTAAACCAGACACACACTATTTCGTAAGACGATGTGCATGTGTGTGTGCGAGTGTGTGCTTGCGGTTGCGTATTGCATTATTTCTGTTTACTACTGCACGACGAGGCAATACCCTGTCAGAATGATGTACAAATATTAGTTATATTATTATTATAAATATGATAACTCGCATAGTTCTCGAGATAATGCTCTAGCTGTTACGATTTCTGGTATCGGGGGACAATCATCAATCAAGAATTTATATCGTTCAATTCCCATTCGATTTACATATCTTACTAATGAATTTTCTCAAGAGAAATACAAGTAATGGTTAGATATTTAGAGAAATACTTAATTACATACACACCATACCTGTCTCCCATCGCAAGTAAGTCAACTGTTTGTTAACGAACTAACTTCAAACTTGCAGAATAGCTGTCTAGAACTGTAAGAATGTTAAATACATCGCGATTTCAAAACCTGGCCTTTCAGAGAGTGTGAATTATAGTATTAACAATTTCTAAAAAATGAATTTTTGAGAATTCTTTTCATTTTCCGTTAATTTCAGTCAGCAATTACGCTGTCATTTATCAATCACAATCTGACTTCCTGCCTTGTAGTATATGTATGTCACCAAAGCATGTCAAACTCTTAATTATTCCCCACAAGCCGACAAGATCCCAGACAGCGTACCAGGTCACGCCAAGGCCACTAAATAGACGCCAGAATTTTCAAACTCAGCATGTGATAATTGTGTTGTGTCGGTTT